GTTTTCATGTTCCCACTATTGTGATTACCGCATAATTTACGAAAAGAGCCAGGTTTTTAACGTGTCGACAACTGAAAGTTATCGAAAGTTATTGCCACTAATTTTTTATTATTTTAAATAGATGTAACAGTCTTGCACTCTTTTCCGGCCAAACCTTAATCAAAACCAACATTATATTCAGTCAGAGCTTGGCGGTGTTTAATAAAAAAAAATCAAAATCAGAATGCTTAACAACAAGCCATTGAATCGATGAAGTACAACAATTGAACCGTTGCGACAAAAAAAATTCCTTAGAATATTTGAGGATTGAATCGAAGCATGGCATTTGTCTACAAACAAAGAGCAATAACGCAAGTTTTAATCCAAAGCGATACAAAGCAAATGTGAGAAACAAAGTGCAACATGAAAATTCATGTTGCAGTTTAAAGCCGAAACTTGCTTTGTGGCACTTTGTTTCTCAAATTGGTGTTGTTTCCCTTTGAAATCTATTTCGGGCAATATGCAGTCTATTTCAAAACCTAGGGGCATTTATCTCTCACGAATCTTCGGGATTCGCCACGAATCTTTTGAATTTTTACACACGCTCAAATGTAAACTGATTCGAATCACTGCAAATCCCAAAGATTCGTACGAATCTTTTACGAATCTCTCACAAATCTCTCTCAAAATGTGTTGAATGATATAATTCCACCTGACATAAAACATATTTTGCAAGAATGTGCATTTGACACTGAATCGTCTTTGCAAGCTATCGATGCTGATGTTGTTGCCGATATCGAGAGACATGTGAACGACGACAGGGAAATTGTGAAAAATAATTCGTATGAAAACGTAATTCCTTTCAAGTTCAAACCAGGCCATAAAATTTTCCTGCTGCAGTTGCCAAAGCAAATTGAAAAATTGAGAGAAACAAAAACTGAAAAACCTAAGCAAGAGTTCTCGCTGACTCAATTGAATAGTTCTCAATTCATCTGTATTAATGTCTTTAGCAACAATAATTTTTGGCTCACTGTTTTCCAAGTCACTTTCTATTTTACGTTATTTTGCTTGTGATAAAATGGTTTTTTTGGCAATGCCAAAAGCAATGCTTTGTGTCCCGGTTTAAATTTGAAATTAAGATCTTGTTGCACGATATTTTCATATACAGTTCCCGTCAAAAGAAATTTCTTTTCGTTCACGTGATTTTCAATTTCTTTTATTTTATTTTCATCTAATAATGCCAAACTGCTTTTAGTATCAAATCCCGCGTGCTTAATAATTTTTTCTATATCGATCGGTAAACGTTCTCCAATAATTTGTTCAACTTGTGTGAGCGTTGCCATTGTAATGGAAGTGTCAAAACATTTGTCAAATTTAAAGGGACACTGATTCGACTCTCTACGAGTCTCTGTAATTTAAACACCTTAGCGATCTGTGTAGTGTACTGCGATTCGCGCGAGTCGTAGAGATTCGTCACGAATCTTTGGCGCAGTATAACGTGCAATATAATGCAAAATGATTCGAGTCGCTTGAGACTCGTACGAATCTTTTCAGAGATAAATGCCCCTAGTTCAAAACTATGATAAGTTGATAAGGAGTGCGAGTTTCGATGTGGCGATAACACCAATGGATTGGGCACATAAAATACTGTACAAGAATTGAAAAGAAAATTAAACTTTTTTTTTCGATTTTCGGCTGTATTGCGACCGTCTACATGGGAAGTTTGTATGAAAATCCCGTAGAGCCGGTGTAATTACATTGGTTTATATGGAAGAATTTACACATTGATGCAATTAAATGTACTACTGTTAAAATGAAGAATACTAATTGTTTCGCCAATCGTACCTATCTCTCATTTTCACCAAACTCATTTTCGTTCAGATACAGATCCATTTCACGATTTTTTTTTTGAAAAATGTGTACCCGCCACACCGAATCGTAATTTGAAGTGTGAATGATTGGAATCAGTTGTAAACCTCAAGAATCGATGGTTTTCACATTTTAAATCAAGTGTATCATATATTTCGCCGTCTTAAATGCATTTTCGTTGAGGTACAGATCCAATTCACAATTTTTCTTCAAAATTTATCAATTTTTGTGTTTTCATTCATTCATCCGTTCTCCGAGAGTTTCATACAAGATTGCCTGTAGCATGCAGTTCTTTTTAAATGAAATGCAGTTAGAATTATATTTAAAAATATTTTGAAAATTTTTAAATTGAATTTTGAACCGCATTCATATGATAGTTGGAAAATTTAAAAACATTTAGTTCATATTTTTTCGCGTCAAAACCGACACGTTTATATTTGAATTAACCCTCAACTGCATGAATTTTTCTTAGGACTGGGAGTACTGGTATTTCCCATGGTTTAGTCAGGAAATGCGATAGAAATAAGTCAGAGAACAATGAAATCCATTGTTTAAAAGTGTCAAAAATATGTCTAATTTGGAAACCGAATAATTTTTTTTGTCAAATTTTCGTTTTCGTGCACATTTTTGTTTTTAACTCACCAATCGTACGACATAGACAAATGACGCCAAAGACAAAAATGAAGAAAAAACATTGACAAATAAAAATTCCCCTTGAAGCAATGTCATCCGCCGTACGATTCACATTATACAGGTGTTTAAATGATGCCCGCCAAAAGACTTTTTCAACTGCTTATGCAGTTGAGGGTTAATGCTAAAACAATAAAAAAGTATAAAATGGGAGAAAATAAACAATTTAAATAAAAATAATAATATAATATTTGACACGTTTTGTTGTTGTCATATTTTATAATGATTACGACATATTGTGAAATAATATTGAAAACCAAACATTAGCTTTTTTTTTCTATTTATTCGTTTTCGTTTAAAAAAAGGAATATTTGATCGATTAGAAAAAGACCATTCCTCAATTGGGATGAGCACAGTGCCCTCATGCTGCATTTATTCTGATGCAGTAGTGCCAACTTTCTACATAGAAACCGATAGATCCCCAAAAGAGTGCGCTTTTTTGGGCGAAGCCAATACAGCCTAGCTTCGGTTAACCTAATTTTCAAAACAAGAAATTCGATTTTCGAAAAATTGTTAACTTAATTTTCGAAACACCAAATTCAATTTTCAAATAATATCGAACTTCAAAAAATTTCGGACAAAAAGTCTGTATGGCACTATTTTAAGGTTATGTGTTTATTTGACCAAATTCGCCCCTATTTTTGCAAAAAGAGGTCATTAATGGTACAAAAACGTACCAAATCTTCGTATACATTCCTCGAAATGCTGCTACAGCAATCGCGGTAGACTACTAACCCACAAAGTTGTCAAAAAAAAATCGGCTGGTTTTGAGAAAAGTTTTTCACTTCTTTGAGTGACTTCGATCATTTTCAAGGATTTGTTTCACTTCTTTTTAGGATATACGATTCAGAAATCGATTTGCACATACAGTCAGTGCCCCTATCCGTCATTTCAAAACATAAAACCTTAAAACTGCCAAACAAGCATGTCTGCTCAATGAAAAGTATGTTTCTTCTAAAGTATCGTTTTGGTACTTTATGATACATTTAGTACCTATGGAACTTGAATATAGCGCCGTATTCGTATGCGTATGACAGCAGTACCAAAGCGATACTTTAGAAGAAACATACTTTTCACTTAGCGCGAGCTCCCTCTGCGAGCCAGCTAGGTGAGTGCTTACTGCTCAGTCAAAATTTGATTTTTATATCATGAAATGTTTGGAAAAGTTTTTCCTCTTGACATGCGCCAAACGACTAAGAAATAAAAGTAAAATTCCCTTATGGTCTTCTATACACTGTCAAAACTTTTCAACATTTTTGTGTTGGTATTTCTGGTAATATACGGAATTCACGGTAATCCGTGAATTTCATAGTATATTGCCGGATCTCCGTTAGAATACATACACAAACAGCACGTCTGAGTTGACGGAGATCCTGTAATATAGTATGAAATTCACGGATTACCGTGAATTCCGTATATTACCAGAAATACCAACACAAAAATGTTGAAAAGTTTTGACAGTGTAAAGTGATTTAGTGATCATGCTATCAAACCATCAAATTACCTCGTTAAATACTATCACGACTTGCATTCAACTTGTTTAAAATCAATAAAATTTTGATTATGAATACCAATGACCTCAAAGTATTCCTGCTGCTTTTTCGCATTGAGTTCAGTTTTTCAGTAAATTAAATTGTTCGTATTGCTCTTTGAATAAATAGGAAGACACGGATCACACCGACAAGACACGTTGGCAGTTAGGCTGTAGTTGTTTATTTGATATCAATATGATATTCGAACTGATAATTATTTGTTGTTAGGTAGAATAATCTATAATCCAGCCGATGTAGTCACTGTCTATCTTCAATGAACGCATTTTGAATTAAGAAATGAAAATTCTCGTTTAATATGAAACCAAGAGTGTATTATTTTTATTTTTATTTAACACCGCCAAGCTCTGGCTGAATATATTATAATAGAATGTGGCCGGAAAAGAGTGCAAGACTGTTACATCAATTAGTATTTGCTTACAATGATTAATAATAACAAACAAACAAACTATCAGTTCTCGCCTCGTTAAAAACCAGTCTCTTTTCGTAATCTTTCTGCATTTACACAAGTAGGACATGAAAACAAAAACACAGTCATACAACCGAGATGGAAATGCTTGATAGTAGTCCGATAGCAAACGGTCCAAAATAAGCTTTGGTAAACGTTTCCAAAGGGACAAAGGCTATGTGAAGTGTTAACTGTTACGCGTTTAATTTGAGACTTTGAGACTGCAAAAGTCGTCACACAATTTATGCGGTGGATAAATTGGCGAGAAGTTTTACGTCGGTTGGGCAGATTCATGTTGACTGCAGAATGGCTTGCGTTAATCAATAAACCATGATTTGAAAAATAACAGAGCATTCGATGCAAAAAAGGAATTAATTCAAAATTGAAAAAAAATTTGATGCCAAATGGTAAATAATTCAAGATTGATGTCAAAGACAAGAATACTAACTCGTCAACTCAGTGGATGGCTACAAAACCGAACAAAATCTAAATTTATAATAAATAGGTGTAAAAATCACAGATAATTATCTTATTTTCTATACAAACAGAAGCTGTATGGAAAACAATTCGTCAGTCTTTTCGTATTGGTATTGATTTGTGTGAGTTGAGTTGAATACCGCGTGGATGGTTGGAATTTGGGGGTCAGCCTCGCTCATGTTTATTGCTATCAGCAGCAACCCAAAGAAAGTGGCACACGGGCAATCTGCGCCGTCCATGATGGATTTGTCGGCTTTGAGATCATGGATCGGGTTTAACGGCAACATGAAAATCGTAATTCCAATTAGTGAGGGTAGTATCTACGTGTTCTCGTAGAGAACATATACAAAAAATGAAGTATTACTTAAGATCGATTTTGAAGTGTAGATGAAAATTATGAAATATGATTTTGAATAAAACACACCTTTTAAATTGAAATCAATGGTTTTTTTAATTTCAAATAGCATAACCTTTGGCGCAAACACAGTTCGGTTCTAACGAAACCTGAATTGTTCCTTGTTCCTACACTGTGGATAGTAGTATTTGATAAATTATGATGTCGAAACAAATAATATAACAGTTTATATCAATGTCTTAGCTACTTTGCAACCGTTATTTTGAAAAATTTGAATGAGTTAAACGGCTGTAAATTTACTTGACGCATAATCGTTGCTCAGTTTCAGCCAGTGTGTTTTTTATTCAGCTTCGTTGACATTTTAAATTAAGTGACCTATGAAAGTGTCGAAGATTACGTTCAAAGCTGCAAGTATTTTTGTTTGTGTTGTTGTTGAATTCCATTGCGTTATTGCTAACAATTCATCATACTACGAGTAATATTTCTTTAAAAAAAAAAATGATTTAGAAGCCATTGCTACTGGAATCGAAAATGTGATTTTATAAAAACTCTTATCGTACTGAGTTAATCGTTTGAACTTATTAATTTGTTTTTTTGTTTCGAAGGACTCGAACTACATTCGAAATATTGTAAATAGCCCGTTCGATGGTGCGAGCACATTTTTGTTTACCGAGATTTTCTTAAATTTTTTTATTTGCTATCAAAATGTTGCAAAATCGAATTGTTATTGACACAAATATATCGCTGAACATTTGACCGAATGACTGTGACTTTTCTTATACTTCAATATTTTTTTTTATATTTTTCGAACTGGAAAACATTTTATTTGAATTGAGAAAAACACGTCAAACCAAAGACTTTACTTTGAGAGAATAAAGAATTTTTTGGTATAATTCACAGTAGAAGTTCCGTAATTATTGCATTTTTGTTGGTTTGCATACAGAGAACAGGAGCTTTTCAAACAGATTCTTTCGTATTAATCACTAGCAGTTATTTATTAATTTCACAGTTTGTACAGTAGTTCTTCTAAATCTAAATTCTACATCGAATGAAATGTTGTCGTGAATATGACCAAAATTGTCATAACTTTGTGCACATAAACTTAAACTTTTAACTAGAACTATTTCAATTTCATTATTTTTATATCAAGTCTATCCGATCCAGTTCAATTGGGGTATGTATTTGCCACCACAATACGGTGAGGATTCTTCGAAGCAACGATTATTATATTCGCTACGTAGAAAACCGGCTTTGCAAATACATTTTCTGAAACATTCGTTGCTTTGCTTTGGTGGACAACGGGGACCAACCCATCTGTTGCATTGCGTTTCACAATCTGGTGCACATTTACTGTATACTTCGTTCTCATCACAGTTTGCTGGAAATACCAATAACAAAACAATTTGCATATCAACACATCATAAATTCTATGGTTTTCTACTCACGTGCTGCGCACACACAAGCAACCGCAACCAATACGAAAAATATTATCGATATTTTGGCCATATTCGCTCGCTTCGAAACACACGGATTAAAATTTCTGCAAACGATTAGAATTTACGGTGACTTTACACAGTGTCAATTCACTTACTGATACAAATCACAGGAAATGAATGATCATTTATACAAAATATTTACGCGAGAGAGAGAAACAAATTGGAAAGAGCTATCTACACATGCCTGACATACTGTCATTGAAAACAAAACAAGCAATCTATTTGGCATGAAAGTAATATTCGATGTCCTAACTCGACGTCATGATGATAAGAGCGTTCCTGTAAAGGTGCAGTTCAAGGCAGAAAACAAAAGCAAGCGATGAATTTTTCGACGATTTGCATTTGGCAAAAAGCAAAATGATACACACACGCACAATCATTGTTAGCAGTCTTCGTACAGCGCAATATCTCATTTCAATGATTGTTGTCTGTTGATTATTATTGCCATTTTTCAGTTTTGTTTGGGTTGTTCGACGTCTGACTCAATCATTTTTAGAACGTGAAGCACTTCAAACTAATTCAGTGATAAAAAAAATTGTGCCGAAAGTGAACGTTTGCATGTAAATCGCTTGTGTGTTTCTAGTAAGAAATACGAGGTGAGTGTCTCGAACAATGATGAAACTCTTGAAATGGTTTAAAATATTGCAGTAGGTATGTATCCTATATACCTAGATATCCGGCTTTAATCTCTTACTTGGAACACAAAAATGATTTGCATAGTAACGCGTGTATTCGGTAAATTCTATTTTCATTCTCAACAACCCAATTGTAATTTTAATTCTTGGAATTGTATTCTTGATCCAAAAAATATAGGTATCAACGTCAAGGGTTGCTATTTTTAAGTTGGATTCAGAGAAATATTGATTGAAGCACTTATAAAAAAATTGAAAATATAAATAATTGTCTCAAGAGAACGTTTCATCCCGCGTGGTAGATTCTGTTGCCATTGTAACGTCATCCGTATTAATTTTTATTGCAATTGATTTTTGTTTTAGATTTGATGTCAGCTTTCGTATTTAAATCGCTTTGAATCGGTGCATAAAATTTTCAATCATACAATTTCAACGCATTCATTCTACCGAATTTTTAATTCATTTACGGTCATCGTCGGCATTTTTGATAGAAATAAATGCTTTAACCCATTGTTTATACGGTAAAAAAAAGTAGCGATAAGTAAATCATTACACGAACCACAGTGATGCAATGCCAGCGATATGATTCATGTAAATTAAACCGTAACGTGACCTATAAATCAGTTACGCTGCTTCAAACTCTCTATACGGGCTATATTAGAGTGAACATTTCAAAAAAGTGTACACACATCACACTGCATCTCTCGCCTTTTCTGTATACTCACCCACTTTGCGTTCACACATTCAAACTTATTCGCTAAGATATGAAATGCTACGGCCTGTGCGATTGAACTCCCATCTGTTTCCTATACAATCTAAGTTGACTATATATATATTCTCTCTTTTCATATATATATATATATATATATATAAGAGCTTTATTTAAATGATTTACTAAGACTGGAAATTTCAGAACACAATTTATAGATGACACTACGAATGAATTCTCAAGATAGTCTACATTTGCGTGAAGGAAGATCAACAACAACTTAAAGAAAACGCACTTAATCTCCAGAGCGAACAATTAAACCATATTTGATTGTATTGGAGTTAATGATAACATATCTCTCTTAATTTATTTCGACTTTCTGATTGGTTTACTTTATCGTAATTCAGAGTTAAGAACTTTAGAATTCATAAAAATAAATGAATTGCTGACTTGATTTTATGGTTAAAATAAAGTGAAAAACACAAGCATTTCTTGATTCTATTTATTTATTGTTTCTTTGAGATTCGAAATTGGTGTGAGTTGTCTTATTCAAATTTAGGTTCATATTGGCCACCACAAGCTGCCGATGACGCTTGGACGCATTTTCCTTCATCGTTACGTACGTGTTCTTTTATACAAGCACACTTTTGATGGCACATAAAAGTTTGGATTGGTGAACATCTTTTGGATTTTGTTGTATCGAAATTGTTACATTGTAGTTCACAGCCAGCGGCACATTCATTGTATTCTTCGTTTTCGCCATCACATTTATCTGAAAATAAAATTGTTTTTTTTCTCTAAATATAACTCATTCTTATATTCTGATTTCTAAACACTATTGTAAAATGTCTACTTACTTTCATTTGGTGCTGCCCATACGCAAGCGATGATTGCCAATGTTAAAAAGATGATTGTAATTCGGGCCATTTTTGACACACTGATATGTTTGCTTTAGAAGATTTTTTTAAAAATTCAAAGATGCTCTGACACAGTGAACTTGCTTACTGATACAAGCCATGGCGACACGTGAACTATTTATACCAAAATCTCATCTATATTTTGGCTAAGCAGTTGATTTGTATTCAACTGGGAATTTCCAGCGTTCGCAATGTTTATATCGCGGGGGTATCGTTACACTAATAACAACATCATTTGTAAAATGAAATTCGTCCAAAACCTGCTGACACGGAGTGAACGCGCTCACTTTACAAACGCACTTGTTCATCTTGCCGGTTTGACAGCTAATGTTAAATCGACTTCTGTTTCAGTGTAGTTTTCTGTTCGAACGCAAGCGTTTTCTCAGTATGGTCCGCAAAATTAAAAAAAAAAACAATTCTGCCACGAACCAGTTTCTATTTTGAATCTAACATTTTGTGTTTTTTTTAAATTATGGAAACTCCAATATATCATATAAAACCGTAATTTTCTCTCATACAACTCAATTGAAAATGGAAGAAAAACTATTTTTTTTAAATACGGGTTTAATCTACCGAAAGAAAGCAATTTTTTTGTCTAGTGTGCCAGCGGCATATTTGCACAATTTTATTTGGCAGAATCGAAACATTTTTATTTATTAAAAATTCAAATAATAATTATTATTTCACCACACAACACAATGACGACTATGTTTGACACTGCATTGAATACACTCATCAATGTAGTTCCCGTCAAAATGTGTGGCGTTGTTGGTTTGACGTTTAATGATCGAAACTATCGCGGTGGTTTATATACATTGTCCGCTTTTTGTTTGTGTTTACCGGACGGTGTGACAATTCTTGAACACTTAAAAAAAGTACTCACATGTGCCAGCTGAATGAATAATATTTACATTTCAAACCACACAAGCAATTTATGCCGGAAATTTTTGTTATCGGTGATTATTTCAAAGAACACTACATCATAAATGCGGAGAATTTGTTGTTCGACATTGAGCAAACAGAACAAAAAATATGAATGGAGTTGACGATAACAAAAAATACATTGAGTCATTCAAAATGAGGTGTGTATTTATGAGGAGTGTATATCAACGAGAGAAAGTGGAAAATTCATACTAATAGCTATCCGAAGGCTTTTTTAGTTGAAAGATTCAATTCCACTTTCTCTCAACTGGAGTTCGCATTTCGAATTTCTCTTTGTGTTAGCCCAAAATTGTCCAAAAGCAAGGAGAATTCATTCGATTCATAACATTCATAGAACTACTGCAATTCAAAGGTCTTCACCGCTATCAATATCATGCCATCTCCATATGTTTCTAAAAAAAAACGAATAGTATTTAAATACCATGAAATGGTGACGATCATTGTTTCCATTATTTCGTTAGTGTCAATATCATTTTTAATTATTCATAGAGGGAATCATGAACCTTGATCAAATATGCAATGAAATCGGTTTAAAGTTGCATTTTGTAACCGCCAGCATTTATTTTATTTATAGCCTCTCAAAAGCGCCATTCAATAATTGCATTAAACTTACAAATTAATTATTCACAACAGCAATTGTTAAAGCGATGTAATTGAAAAGTTCGTTGAAAAAAATTGATTTTGATAGAAAAATACGAAACTTTTCATTGATAAAGTTGTTGTGACGAAAAAAAATTGATTTTATTGTTGTTCGAGAAAAAAACTTCTGTAAAATACAGAGTTTCGGGATGGAAAAAAGGGCATTGGTTGAACAAAATATAAAATAACAGATTTCAATTGATTGATTACATTTAAGCTGGTTAGTACATTTGATTTAATTTCTTTTCCTTCGCTCATTGAGAACAATTCGTGGGTAGATTTTTTTTTTTGGAGCGTTTGAAGGTCAAATTCATTGAAAATGCTACCCTGAAACGCAGATTATAAACAGAAGTACACGATTAATAACTACCCGTGTTGCTGATAATTCTCAGCTCTCTCTCAAGCGCGCAATGCCGTGGGCTTTGATCTAGAATTGGCGAGCAAGAAATATTTGTAAACATAATTAAAACCTTAAAATTTGCTGCGAATTTCGAGAAGAAAATGAAATAAACAATCTAATTGAGACTGAAGTTCTATTTCCTAAAAGTGATCTGATTGCCAATGTTGTTTGCTTGATATTTACATTTTCGTAATTGATAAGTGCGCTTTAATCATGAACTTTTGAGTTTTTGTTAAATTGGTTTGGATTGAACCATTCAACAATTCCGAATTGTGTGAGTGGCAAAAAGATGCGAAAAAGAAACTCAAAAATAGAATCCGAGGGAAAAAAACACAAAATTCGACCAAGTCTGTTGCACATTACGCGTTTCATTATAATTGAAGAAGAAAATATTGATAAGTTTCGAGAGGTTAGCGAATGCAGCATGTTGTGGGTTTTTTGCGAATGTATCAAAGAAATATCTCAAATATTCGAAGAAAAAAATATTAGAGAACTATTCTTGTTTTGAATAAACAAAAGACTTTGTATCGTCGCTAACTAATTCCAAATTTGTTACATGATAAATATTCTCATTTTGGCCTCGATCTTGACTTTTACTATGGTCCGCAACTATAGCGCTACACTAACAATAACTTTTATTATGAAGTGTCATTCATTCAGATCGTCTTCCGAAGTAACAGCAGAATTTACCTGAGCTGAGTTTACTTGAGTGTGAGCGGGAATTTGAGTGATGGCGTTGGCAGTTTGACAATGAGAACACATCACTATAGCTGCGCTATTCTCTCTCTCTCTCTCTCTCTCTCTCTACTGAATAATGCCATAAAATCGAACACAAAATACCAGCATAAAATAAAACAATTCCAACTTTATTTTTGAGTGGTGACAAAACACACCGCCACCAAACAGATGTCATTATTTTCATTTCACATTCGAATGTGTGCAAATTCAATTTCCCCTACAATCTGAAAATAACGACAAACGCGTAACAAAGTCCAAACAAAACAGTTACAGCAACGAAATAAATTTTTAGTTGATTCTAATGACTTCATAAATGTAAACAACAATGTAATATATTCATCGCACGTTCGTTTTTTTTATTCAACAGATGTTCGTGTTGTAAAATAGTTTGTTAAAATTTAAATGGTATGTGCGAAGCTTCACACTGTTCTATTGCATGCTTGACGACATGATTTTTTTTTGTCGGTTTCGTATATTTTGGTCACATTTATAATAATTCGGACGTTTTTTTTTTGTTTTTGTTGGGGATTTTTGTGTAGGTAATGACCAATAGCCCACTGCTGGCCACCTTGCATTACAATCAGTTGGAGTTTCAGGCAAAGCTTCATCTTGACATGTCTTCGAATCAATTCGAATGCATTTTTTATCGCATTTTTGTCGAGCATAACCATCAATGCAGTAACATGCAGATGGGGCAACGATGTTATTTACGCAGCAATGTTGATGCAAACCGCGGCACATGTCATTTGACACGGATCTCCTTCCTCGTTGAACTTTTCATTTGATCCACATTCCATTGCCGCACCCTCTGAAACCCAAACAATCGAATCGTATAATTCATAACAAAGAAAAAATCACACAGACAAAACGTTCAAAGTTCATCTTACATTTGAAAATCACAACAAAAAACAGAAGCGATAACAACGGAACAAAAATGGAATATTTCGACATATTTCAACTCGTTTCACACTACGTGTAGGGTCCACATATGTCCAATAGCAAACGATTCAATGCACTCACTGTGATGACGACAGTTGTAAATCGACGCTTTTGCTATGATGAAACCAACAATGGTGAAGTGGGGAAACATTTATTCCAGCTCTATTGGATTCTTAATCGTCGTGTGGTTTGGCTTAGAATTGTATATTAAGGAAATAATGATTAAAAAATAACTACACATCATGAAATCAATTTGATTAATCTTTTATTTTTTTTCCGGTTCATATTCGTACATAAAGGTAGGAAGATGTGTTTCTGATTTCGGTTTGGCCAGCACACTTATTTGGCAAGTAATTATTGCAGCCAAAAAAAAAACATTGTGAGAGATAAATGGCACGAAAAGAGAAATATTGATATAATTGTGTATATTACGAAAAAAGGGGATTAACCAAATTTCAGTGACAAAATTGTGCACAGTCACCATACGCTTCAGTAAGCATTACACGATGAGGTGAAATCATATTGCAAACCACTGGTAGCACAGGTAGCACTCCTCTTGTTGAAAGAACAATGTCGTCTTCGTCGATGCTGATTCTCTCTTCTTGACAGGAAATAATTAAATCCGTCTTACGTGATCATTGGCGTTTGGTGTAAAACTGTGGAAAATTGGCTGAATGCGGCAAAAGTTTTCAGTGTCGACTGATTGTCGGTTCATGTTGGTTTGCAATTGCTTTTCAAAAGCGGGAAGCACTTGAATAAGACAGACGGACCGAGACCAAGAGCGGGAAAAAGATAGAAACGTAGCGAGAAGTAACTCAATAGAATTGTGTGGTAGCAAATAATAAATATACACGGGAAAACGGGTTTCGTTTTTCGCCCAGACAAATCGAACTTTAATCCGCACCTGAAGCGAACACACGATGCGATAAAATCGGTTTTTGGGCTTAGCGCACGGCATACACAAAAACCATGGCAAAGTGCACGCTTCGCCTGTTCAGAAATGATCTCTTGATTAGGATAAAGTGTGCAATTCATGCATACAGATTCGTATATTAAGGCACATTCATACTAATCATGTTTGTCACCGTAAAACATTTCAACTTTTATTTCGTGCGGGCTTCGTGCTTCTCTAATTTTTTTTGTCGTCCCTATTTTCACCGCTGTACGAGTGTTGCTTACGGTTTCTTTTTTCTTCTTCTCTTCATTCGAATTGCCGTTTGATTATAGTTTTAGCGTTTTCGATTTTCACATGAAACCGATGATTGTGTCGCTGTGTGTGTATATATGTGCACGGAACACATTGCATGTGTGTAACACTAGTTGCCGTGTACATTCCTTACCCGTTGTGTGTATCACACAAGTGCTCTTGTAAACCAAGCCCATTTAAAAAGCTATTATTATCAATTACCATTAAGAGCGCGAAACGCGGTTGAAAACAAAATTTTATGCGTTTTTTTCCCTGTTCATTCTCTTTCCTATTCGTCCAAATAAACAGACACATATAGGTATGTGTGTTTAGTTTCGTGTACATTTTCTCTAGTGCACTTTTTTCCCCATCATTATTACAGTTATTATTCCCGACGATGTGGTGGAAATCTCTCTATCTCTTTGGCAAAACGGCAAAGGTAAAGGTAAAAACAAACGATCCCCTGAAGAACAAAATTATGAATTGGATTGGCTGTGTTTTTTTTTTAGTCGGTTATATGTTATACGCAAATGCATACCCAGAGACGCTCACTCACATGCCGCAGACAATGAAAATCAAACAATCGCCGAGTGTCTTTATTCGCGTTCGAATTTGCGTCAGGCGACAAACGACACAGCGGAAATTTCAATGGGAAATGGTAAATAACGTTTTCGTTAGGGTTATTGTTATTGCATCCATCGTATTTCGTTCAATGTAAATGACGACGCTAAAATATTTTCGCTTCCCTCTGGAAAATTGTTTTCCGCATATTTCACAAGTTTTGCCTTTTTAAAAGCAACAACAACCAAAATACACAAATCCGTTCCATCATTCTCTATCCAACCATCGCGCAATGATATTTGACATACCATACAGACGACAACGACGACAATGATCCACAAATTATTCGGAATGCGAACGGTTTTTGGCAACCAACACAACGTGTGTACCTATTTAACTTAGCAACGTTTTAACCGTATGGAAATTATATTTGAATCGGCAAGTAAACGATTTGATCATCGTATTAAACGATTATAATTTAGCTATGCTCGAATCAGTTTGCAACCGATATCCATACTTACCTAATCAATTCTTCGGGCCAATTCGACTCAATTTGTATGTTAAATCAAAACAGATGGGAATTATTCACATTGAATAAATAAATTCTCAATTGGATCCATTGCATCTGCTAATTTGCCGCTTCAAAATCATCGCACCGGATTATAGTATATCCAAATATTAGAGCTAATTTACCTTTTCACCGCGATTCATTTTAATGTGGACGCCCATTTAAAAGAAAACTAATCGCCATTCTATGAGAAAATTGTATGGGAACTCCCGTCATTTACTTTATTGATTCAAAGTGAATTTGCATTTAGAAAAAGAAACAACATGAAATAATATTCGTCGACTATAGTTCTCAGATTTCATCTTTGTTTAAAGTTTATGTACTACAAGTATTTTTTTGCGGACGAATCGTTCTTCTCCATCTTGTTTACCATTTTCTATATCAATGTTTAAGAGAAGCTTATGATGTAATTGGATTTAGAACAGAAGAGAAAAAATAAACTAATTTGCAGTGATTCATCAATTGTGATTTAAGGCAATCAAAACATTTTTCTCCGTCAACATTCTTGGGCTCGTTATCCTATTCAAGAGTATCGCATGCAGCCCAACACAATAAATTTTTTCCTATGGCCATCTCTCTCTGTCTCCGTTCAGCATTTACTTACATTCATTCATTTAGAAAAAAAAGTTTGCGTTGTATGTTAAATTATTTCCCTAGATGGGGGTGCTAGCAAACAATTATTTTTTTTCACAGAAGAAAAAACGAAGAAGAAAAGTTTCATAAATTATACAGATTACATCGTATTTTCAATAAATATATATTTTTTATACATACTCTTATACCAATCGATTGAACAATTCTTAACAACAATACATACGAAAAGGAAAAATAAACTGAACTGCTGCGCTCAATTTCGAAAAGAATACAAAAAGAAAAGAATGAAGAAGAAATGAAAGTACAAATGAAGAATTTTGCATGAGTGAAACCTGAAGTGCTAACACAAAAGAACTTTCATTCTCGCTGAAATCAAATCGGTTTTATCTCTGTCTCTCCATCCATCCATCCATCCATCCCTCACTTCTCTTTCGCTCGCTCGCACATATACTTTTTGCACCGGAACCATGGCTAAACGTAACAAACAAACTTATTTCCGGTGTGTGGCCCGAAACGCTGTGTGTTTCAGTTAATGTTCCAATTTTGAACTTTATATTCTGTGGACGCGTTTTATTTCTTATTCATTTTTCTTTTCTTTTTTCTTCTTCTCTCTTTCAACATTTTATATGTATGCGTATGGACCATCAATGTTGTTTTTTGTTGTTGTCAGAATGTTTTTGTCGGCCAGTGCCACCGTCGTTGTCGTTGTCGTTGTCGTTGTCGTTGTCGTCGTCGTCGTCGTATCGGCCACGTCGTCGAATGTCGTATTTGGTGATGTTGTGATTGTGACATTCTTTCGCTGACTCGACGATTCGCCCAGTGCAGGTGCCGCTGTAGCGGCATGTGATGATGACGTTTTTGCTCCTTCTAATTCTGTACAAATGCCAATATCTGTATTTGCTAAACTAAGATCTCCTCTATCACCCTGTATCCAACTATGACTTTCAGCTGAAAATTCGTCTAAAGATGTGATTTGGCCGCACGGTTCGGTTTGATGTGTCGACGTTATATTCGACCGTTGTCGAAAATACAGCCCATCACCGTTGCCAGCGTTGATTGGGCCCGTTGAATTCATATCGTTAGCTATACACGGTGCATTCATTGTCAAATGATTTACATCATTGCTTATTGCTGTAGTATTGCACGGATCTTCAATTTTCAAATTTGATGGACTCGGATCAATTGATTGAATTTGTATATCGTAATCAAGTGATGATCCGTCGTGGGTCCGGTCAATACGATAGAATGATGTTTTGTCGGCCAATTGTGATGCGAGTTTGGCTTTATCAAATGCGGCCGCATTGGTTAATTCATTGTTTGGTTTTACCTCGATTCCATCGTTTGCATCGATGATGTCAAAGTCATCGGTAGCAATCTGGTCAAATGTATTTTCATTGGATTTTGTGTCATTGTTACTGTTGTTCAATTCATGATGCAATTGACAATTTGATTCATCATCGTGTGCCTCACGGTGATTCGTTTGGCTGGTTGCTGCCGATGACGATGCGGTGGCAACGGCAGCAGCGGCCATACTATTTTCGTCCATTGGTCCAACACCGTTGGCTGTTTCATCTCTATCGATGCGAATATTTCCAGTGCCATCGGCCGGATTAATTTGGATTGGATTAATTTGTATGCCAGCCAAATTAATACGTCGCAATCGGCTCAGGTTAATGCGTAAGCGTGTGATGTTTGCCGTTGGATTATTATTGTTATTGTTGTTTAAGCTGTTGTCATTATTATTGTTGAAAAATGCGGCCGTGCCGAGTACATCATTCGTTAGCCGACCTTGAAGCGCTCCAATCAAACGTGTCGCATAGTTGAATAGCGTAGTGGCCATTTGTAAGCTCAAAATGAACGAAATCGTTGTGAGCAAATTGCCATTGCGACGGTTATTGTTATTGGGACTGTTGCCATTATTGTTCGTTTGATTGTTACCCATTGTATCGTTATTCGCTTGATTTGCTGCATTCGAACCATTTCTTATGTTGGACGCATTATTCGTTGCACCGTGTGCACCGTTACCATTTTGTTGCTGATGCCTTTGACGTGTTCGCAACCGAAGTATCTGCTGCACTTGGGCTTGTTGAATAATCACAGGCAATTCATAGTGATGGAAGAAATATATCATCGAATGCTATGAACAGGAGAAACAGAGAAGAAGAATAAAATGGAATTTCCCAATTAAATTGACATTATTTGAAAATAATAAAGCAATAAATAGAGTAGAGAGATGGTATGGCTGTTATTGTTCACACAAAAGACAGAACATTCTTTAATGTTGAAATAATTTCTTCACTGTGCCCATTGGGTCGTCTATCATCCCATATTATTGTCCAGTTGCAACTTTCAATCGAACAGTTTGAATTCAAAACAGCGTGAAATGCAACCAGCAATATAGTTTAATTACTCAATGTTCCATGCGTTGAAGCTAATAATCCAAGTGACAGGGCAGAAAATATTCTTCCATTTATTTTCATTCCTTGTTTGTGTGTTTAATTTTTCTTTCTGAATATATTGCCAATCTAGTGGAATTTCGCAGCATGGGAAATGGGTTGATGAAAGTATGCGGATAAAGAAAGCGAATCAGCAAATGTTTACTCTCATTATTTAATAAACATGCCACGTGAACGAAACGGTCGCTCAAACTCAAACTGCTTTTATAACGGAACTGCTGGAGCGTATCTAACGTATTTCGTACTATAATACTCTAGTTATAATCATTATTATCGATTAATGCTACCGGTTGCTGCTAAGGGATGCAGCGAGAGAAAATTGAAATACAATTCCCTTTGTCACAAAAATGTCTGCCATTCTGTTCGAAATGGCTGGACAGTTTTCCCGTTTTTTGATGAGAGCAAACGCATTCTCTTTCTGCTGTTATCCATTCATCTCTCTCTCTCTCTCTCTCTCTCTCTCTCTCCCTCTACCTCTCTTTCCCCGTTCATTTTTTTCCTTCTTCGTAATAAAATCGCAACGATGAAACTCCAATTGTTGCTAGGTCACGTGAATTAATTATAGAGCACACGTGAAATTTTCCAAACAGACGATCCACGTGATTCGCTTGCTCGCATGCATTTTCAACATGTCAAATCCGATTGGCTGAAAAGCATTACATTGTTCCCGTTACAGAGAGTGGAGTGGAGTGGAGCTTGCCACTGATTCTCGCAGCCTGAAATGTGCTACAAAGTGTGTTTAGTAAAACGACAACAACACAAACAGGGAGAACAAAGAATAACGAGAAAACTGTTTTTGTTTTGATTTTATATTGAAAATTATTCCTCTTTTTCTTTCATTTCGCTGTGATTCAAATGGATTTTGTGCTTTTATTTTCGTTACGTTTATTTTGCTTTGCAGAGCTTAATGCTGTTTGGTTAATTATTTTGAAACAAACAGTTGGCTGCCATTCCAACGATATACGGTTGTTTTCGCATTGAATATGTTTCAAAGGAATTTATTGTTTAGTGTTTAAAATGTGCAGATGTCTTGAGAAATTGTTCGCTTCTGTGAAATAGAAATGTTCTGAAAACAACTAAATTCCCTCTACTCTGAACCACGTGATCTCAATGTTTCGTTTGCAATTCAAATGCAGTGTCCTAAACGGCCAATTCAACATATTGTTAGGTCATGCACACAGAATTGACTTGCCAAACTTTGATTTGATCGCCAGGACCAACAACGAGAATATTTTACCTGGATGAAAAGCCACGATGTTGTCAACGCTAAGCTGCTGTATTGGCCATTGAATCGGTAATGATATGCATAAAAAGAAAAGTGATACAGGTAGAAAAATCTGCAAATAGAAAAAGAAAACACACAAAATTATTATTGAAACTTCGATCGAAGTGAAAGCAAACAAACGATATTCAGCATAATAATTTTTTTTTTTCATAAAACTTTGCAGTCTCGTAACGATGGCATCCGCTTTCAAATTAGACATTTTCATGTATCCAATCAGTTTCGAATGGATTCTCTCTGCTAATAAATATGTTTTCAATTTTTCCTTTGCTTTTTTTCGTCTTATTTCTGCCATTTTACTTTTTCTTCATTCAATTTTCTTTTCTTTGCATTTATTTTTACTCTCTTGCCCCGATGTGTAATACACACATATACACAAGCATTTTTGCTATTTTTCCATGCTTGATGCGCCCTTCTTTGCGTCATCGCCAAAGATAAATATCCATTTCGCTTGAATGACAAACTGTTGCTTGCTTCGCATAGTATTTGTGTCATTATTGTGCGTTTGAATGATTTTCCATGAAAATTGGTAATTGGATAGTTTGTGTTTGATTGAGCCGTGAAGTGTGCAGAGTGCTGCGAATGATGACGACGACGACGACGACGACGGCGAAAAATGGGAATGGCATTACCAAGCATTCACTCAATATAATGTGCACAATGTTTTTAGTTTGACCCTCCACCATGTAAGAATGTATGGGGCTGTGACATTTTCAACAAATTGTTTATATCATTCACAGCCATCTCCCGGACGATATTTTCTTTCATTCAGCACACCACAACCAACGATTATTCTGCATGTACACTGTTGTGTGTGTGCAAGTGGCTCGGCTCAGCCCTGGCCATTGAGTTTATCGATAGTTTGTAATTTAAAACTTTATTGGTTGGCCGTGTGTTTGTATGCGATCCGCTTCCACTCATTCATTACAAGTGCAAATATTTTTTTTCTTCATCATCGTTGTTTTGTTCTTGCCATTCTATCCCATGCTTTGAGAAATGCCTACGTTTCCGATTTGGTTCAGTTCGCCTTAAAGTCAAGACGCTTGTGTGTTATGATATGAATAATGTTTGGTATTCATCAATTTAATCTAATCTATAAACTGATCAAATTTATATTGAATGATTTTGAGAAAACGGATTCGGATATTAAAACCACTCAATGAACTTAAGAAAATCGTGCAATTGGGATGGGAGAGAGAGCGCGCGGGAGGAAAAACTAGGTGTGAACTCGATATATTCAACACGGCCAAAATGAATTTGTTTTCTTTTCCGTTTGTACGGCTCATTCGATTACAACTAATCGACAATATTCCTTCCATTTTTTTTTCTCTGAAGGGAGTTGGTGTGTTTATATAGGTTTGTGCCGTGTGCAGAAGAATCGCCAACGTAATACAGACTGGCCGAGTGGATGAGCGATCGCCCATGTAGAGAGGTAAGTGAGGAAGAGAGAAATGTTTGTCTTGTATTTGCACAAGCGAAGCGTAATAAGCAATAAATTTTGCTCATAAATCAATTAATGAGTTTTTGTTATTGTTGGTGCGCGATTGTTTCGTCCGTTTCATTCGGTAAACGGGCCAAATTGAAGCGGAAAAAGCAAAGAAAATAGAAAGTGACGTTGGCTGTTGTCGTCGTTAATGAGTATAGTTTTTTTTTTTTTAGTTTGGCCGAATGTGAATCAACAGTGCTACGGCCTTATATTCACATGCACACACACACGCCTCTATCTCAGGACACAGACCTGCAATGAAACAGCCATAAAAAACGATGGCTGCAATGCACACCAAACTATCGGCACTCAATATTGCGACATGCACACAATTTTATGTGCTAAAAAGAGAATAATGAAATAGGATCAGACAAACGACGATGAGAGTAGAAAAAAAAAGAATTGAACGAACTTTACAACGGAAAAGTTAAAATAAAAGAGCGAATACCACACGATATGGTATATTTTATATCAATTGCTAAGGAGCAGACAAGCTTATGGGCAATAAGTGACTCTTCGCATTTCCAATACGGACAGCATTTGAAGAACACACAACATACGCTCAGCTATGCATCACCAATTGATATGTAGGTCTTTGCCAACAATTTCACGCTCATATTGTACCGCTACAATAAATGTGTGTAAATAAAAACAATCGGGTTTTTTTAGCTCGTCGCTCCGAATGTGTATACAATGTCCACAGCGCGAGTACATCGTTCGGTGTTCATGGCACCGAGCCAATGGTCGATATATATATTCCACCACTTTGGTGCACAACACACCCAGCATTGGGAACGAAAAAGGCCACTTAATAACGGCATTATGTAAATAGAGAAGAGGAGAGAAAAAGAAGAAAAAGAGAAAAAAATTGATAAACATGGGAATGCTTCAAGACAAGAGACTCCACACAATATATAAACTATGGGAGAGTAAACATCTACGAAATGTGGGTATTGTTTCGAGTAATAGCATTAAAGCAACGAAAAATATTTGCAGTCATCGACATAGCGACCGATCATTCCAATTATGAGCATTTGCTTAGCTACGTGTGGAGCCAGGCCCCGTCCCCGGCCACGGCCAAGCCAACGCCATTAGTTTTAGTCGATGCGAATATCATCCAAACGGTTCGTAGGTCTTGTGTAGCATTGTAAAATACAGTACAACATGAACTGAAATAAGGGACACTCAATGAAATCAACACAAACACATAAATTCGTGTGCATAAAATTAAAATCTATAACTGTCAATATACTTTGACAACATAATGACTGGTAAATGAAAAAGGCATTAACAATTTGACCATTGAACCAAATGGGGAGACATCGTAAAAAAGTTTCCAGTTATACTGAAGCTTCACAATTTTTTCAGCATACTTTTCATATGATTATTTATACATTTCGATATATTCAATGTGTTCGAATACTGAAAATAATTTCGTTTCTCATCATTTTATCTGGAAAAATATTCGAAAAAAAAAGATGTGAAAATCGAAATAATATCAATGGAAAGTTGTGCGTTCGGCAATGAATTCATTTTGACCGTCGTCTTGGATAGAAACCGGCAACTATTTGTGTTGCGAAGGCAATTTATTTTTATTGGAACCCCCCACCGAACACGGCTGACTGACTAATCTTGTTGGCGACATAATCATTTTTGTTTCATTCAGCACTGGGCCGTCTCTTTCTCTCTCTCTCTCTCTTACACTCTCTCTCTCTCTCTCTCTCTCTCTTTTGCTCTTGCCTTTCGACTCTATTTCTCCATATCAGCAGTGCATCTCGTGTCTCAGTCACCCCAGCATTCGCCAATCCCATTTTGAGCGCGCGCTTGTATCTTTCCTGTCATTTCAATTTCGTGCATGTCATTGGCATGGAATATTGAATAGTGTGAGAGAGAGAGAGAAACCAAAACGATACACACAAAGAAAATGTGTAACGAAACGACGGCCAACAAACCATAAAAGAACAAGACAAGAAACCATGCTAGTGGAAAACTAAGGATCAGAAAAACAAGCGAGTAATATGGAACAACAACCATAAGAAGAAGAAGAAGAAGAAGTTCAAGTGAAGGAAAGGCAGAGGAAAAAATCGAACAAGAAGATGAAGAAATCTAAAGAAGTTCGCTGTGAGCTGTGTGATGTGAAACCATTCATCCACCCACTTGCTTAAAGTGAACTTATTATTACACGAGCACTGGTAGGAATTCGACGTTAATACCCTCGGATATTGTTCGATGCAGAGGTGACAGCACATACATACACATACACTCAACAAACAATTAAACATTTTCGCGCTCGATGCCATGAACAGCAAACGATGATGCACACTGTTGCTCTGCTGACACCGCTGGGTTCGGGCGCGAAATCCCGATTCTTTCGGATGAGTAGTACACACGCATACTATTGTGAACAGGGGATGCAATGAAAACACAAGCATCGCTATAATTATGTCGATACGCACACAGCGACAACGAAAGCCTGGGCGAAAGCGAATGAGCAACACATGTATGGCTCACAATTCTCAAGATCTGAGCCAATGGCTACACTCGCAGTGTTTTTCGATTAGTCAATTTCGATGAGATTCCGACAAAATTCAGCCTGTCATTCAACTAAGTCTTACACATTTTCTCTGATTCTCCATAGATCTTAGCGACTTGTCATTAAATCTCAAAGCATATGAATACCGTCAACATCACGGTCTCAATGCTTGCCTGATCGCTCATTTGTTTGCGCTGTAATTCATTTCGGTAGTGGATGGCCATGAGCCAAGGCTCTGGAAATATTGAATTTGATTTCTATTCCAAGCAAATTGCTTTATGAAACATCGTCTCTGTCTCAAAAATGCCAAATAGTTTTGGACTGCGACGCACACCACAGGGAAACTGTTGCTGCAAGAAGGAAAGAAAGAGCAAGTGACGAGCAACAGCATATGGCAAACAACAGCCACTAAATCAGCATGCATTAACAGCATATTTGTGTCAAACCAATTATTTCGTTTTTCTCGGTTTTTCCAAACCCCCAAATTATGTTGATACTACACAGAAGAGAATGGGAAAGGGAGGTGAAATATCCCTGTAACGACAATAATTGACTCATTTCGCTGCGAATGAACTGCACCGCAACATTTCATTTCATGCAACACGCTTATGGTTTCGGGAATTTATCGACGTGCTCTAGCCATTGAACATGAAATTTTCATTTTGTACACGAAATGACGACGCGATTTTCAACATCGCATTTCAGTGTTTTTTTTCTCTCTCTCTCTCTCTCTCTCTCTCTCTCTCTCTCTCTCTCTTTCTTTCTTTCTTCCCTCGCCTTTGCTTCTTTGCTTGATTTTCCCGCACCGATATGCGTCAGTGTGTTATTTGATGCACAGTGACTTTAATTCTGCTACGATGAACCAAACCGTCAAACATGTCGAATGAACTAACATCGATACGCGCCCTTCGGGGTCTCTTGGAGATGCCAAAGCAATCAATTTCTTTAACTTGATTCCATTTCGCATTATTTTAGAGCACCATTTAATGAAAGCGTTTCAGTGTGATTTTTCGATTTTGAGCAGCAATTTCGTTGT